AGTGTCCCTAGCATATTAGTGAGTGTTTTCTTTTCTTGAGTACTTACTTATTATCTTCATTTTAAATTCGCGACATTCGTTCATCAGATTTACAAGAAATTTTCATCAGTAAACTATCTTTTATACTTCTATTTTTTTCACGATTGGCATATGTTACATTTTCTTCCATGTGTAAAAGTGAAGGAAAAGTTTGCAAAAATGGTTGAAAGACGAGGGCATGTTACTAATGTTTCAGCTACATGATAATCATAGTTTTTCACATCAAAATTGTTTTGATAGGCCCATGCCACTCATAAAATGCAAAGCAATTTCTTATCATTTTCGTAGTTTCTAAAGGCTAATTCAGTGGTAAATGGAGGCTATACGCAGTAATTTGAAACGATTTTGAAAGGAAAACCCATGTGGATCTCAAATAGGGTGTAGTGCAGTAATTTTTTGCAGGGATGTTCTTTTCAACTTTGCTCTCTAAGCAACTCGTGATCATTTGGCTATCTTGTGATTTATATGCCATTGTGTTTATCATTGAAGACTTATTTACTAAAAGAACTTTTTCTGAACTATGACTGCTATAATTTCCATATTCCTAGCTCAAACATCTTTCATTGCCTCGTACTTAGCTTAGCTTGAAGACTGGACAGATGCTGAAAGTAGACATAGATCTACTTTTCGAATTTTTTGAGAGTTAGTAAACGTATGGATCGAGATGTTTTCTTACGCCTCCATCGCTGTTAAAATTGCGTGTAAGCGCTTCCAACATTCTTAATAATTGGGATTTCCGTTGAGTTGCAACAGGAAAAGATCTGAGTTTGTTAATGAGTAAAGGCTGCTGAATTTTTTTTTTTGCGCTCTGAAAAAACTATGTGTAGTTTTTCATTGAACTGCGCTTCTTTTCCAGTGTGTTAATGCTAAGCTTAGGTCTCGTATCTCGGTCGAAAGTGCTAGTGCTGACTAGAATTCGCTTTGCTTTTTCCATGGGTACCGGAGATTTTTGGATGATTAATTGGATATGTGGTACTTGAATCTGTGGTTGCAAACTTATCACAACATAAATGAATAAACATAATTATCTAAGGAACAGTGAGATGTGGCCATTAATTTTATACCTAATCTTCGATTTTCTCAATTACTACATTTGCAGTGCTTCCGAACAGTCGCGGAATGCAGCCAGAAATCTAATGCCCAAAGTTTCAAACCGCTACACCACCACTGTGTTTAACTTGGAAGTAGTCGAGTTTGAGACTGAAGAGAGAATGCTTGCTGAACTTCGTAAGGATGCGCCAAATAGTACATTATATGGATGCGCCATAAACAAGTTTGTTGCTATTTTGATAATTTACCCATAAGAGGAATTGAATGGTTATTTTTGCAGATTTGCTGGTGGAGTGATATTCGATCGCATTAATGCTAGCGCAAATATTCTGGACTACAAAATCCTCATCCCGACACCGCTTACTGAGGATCCGTGGATGCTTGATCAAGAGTGGAATGATCCATTTGGAGCGGATAATGATTTCAACAAGTAGGTTTTCTTTCTTTTAGTTGCTGATTATCATTGTTGTCCGAGAAAGCATGCTTTGCGTTCAAGAAAGTTGCACAGATTTCTGCGTAGCATACTCCGTGTAGCTGTCTGAAAGCTTACCGTGAAATTCTTTGTCAATAGCTTTTTGGACGTTGTTAAATTGAACACGGGTATCTGTTTAGCGCTTAACCCCTTTTTCTTCCACCCCTCGCCTCCCCCATATCAAGATTTAGGCTGACGCCTTGAATCTTTTCTTGCTCTTAGTTAAAATCCGCACCTCTTAAATACATGAATCCCATTCAGAATACCCGGCAGGCCACCTTACTGGTCATCAGC